AGAGCAGAATGAATCTTCTGCTGAAACATGGAACCATACACCGCCATATGCTATGTCGTTTGTGCATTTGGTGAGTAGTGGAGCAGGCCCCACTGGACGTATTCGTAAGAAAACAAAAACAAAAAAACGAGAGAGCCACGGGCATCTTCATCCTAACCCATAACTGCCGACATGCGGACCTGAATGCCAATCTTCAGCATATATTGGTGGTCGGCTGGCAATAGAACATTCAATTTGCAACTTCTGCGAAGCTTCGTGGGGCGTATCGTTATTAGGCGACTACCTCTTCTTGCGAACTGACCCCTTTACTGTGTGGGATTTGCAGAAGGCAGCGGGAAGGACATCTCTCATACCCCGCCTAAAACAAAAGTTGGAATGAGCCCTATTTTGTGCCTCGCCATTCGAAACTTTTTGGGGAAGGGCCTGCGAAAATCGAATTTTCAGCAGCCCTTGCCCAAAAGAAAAGTTTGGGCCGTGGGCGCGGCCGGTTTGTGAACTTGCGCGGTGAGTTTAACATTTTTGCCGAGTTGGGGGCCCTAAGAAATTAGAAACCCCCTACTTTTTCTTTTTTTTTGTTTGGACCTAATTTCAAGTGCGCTGCGCTTCGGTGCGCTGTGCGGTGCGCGGCTCGACGTGCGCAAACCGTGCGCAAACCGGCGCACCGACGTGCGCCGCAACTATGCTTTTAACTTTTTGTTTTCACTTTATTTCGGGGCCTAAAAAATTTTATTATTTTTTGCAAAAATTTTAATGAGTTATTGATTATGTAAACTACATACCTGTAAATTTTCAGGGCATTTGTCAATGCCAAAAAATAATTAAAACTCGGCAAAGATGTCGGTGTCGAAAAGGTGCTGGCACACTCACTCATTTTAATTCTCTTTTTTTTTTCCTTATTTTTATCATAGTGTTTATTTTCTGTATTTGATTTTTAATTCAAATTTGGTAAAGAATTTGGATGTAGTGCTCAGGCAAATGTTGTTTAGTTTAGTTTTCTCCATAACATTTTTTTTTTTTCGGAAATTTTTGAAAACTTTGTTGTTTTTTTTTTTTTTTTTTTTTTGGTCCGCGTTCGGCCCGAACGGCCGAACGCCTTCCGAAGGGGTCCCGTATGTTCGGGCGTTCGGCCCGTCCCGAACGCCGGCAACCCTGTATATATATATCGTGACAAACAGAACTGCCCGGTAAACCGTAGGCAGAGAGAGAGAAGAGGACAAC